TACTACTACTACTACTACTACTACTACTACTACTACTACTACTACTACTACTACTACTACTGCTGCTACTACTGCTACTGCTGCTACGAGTAATACAAATAATAATAGCAAGAGTACTAGTATGAATACTACTACTACTACTACTACTACTACTACTACTACTACTACCACTACTACTACGACTACGACTACCACTACTACTACTATACTTACTACTATTACTATACTAATTACTACTTACTACACTACTACTACTACTACAACTACTACTACTACTACTACTACACACTACTACTACTACTATACTACTACTCCTACTACTAATACTACTACTACTTCTACTACTTCTACTACTTCACTACTACTTCTACTACTTCTACTACTTCTACTACTTCTATTACTACAACTACTACTATTACTACTGCTACCTATACCAATACTTCTACTACTACTACTACTACTAGTAGTACTACTACTCTACTACTACTTACTACATTACTACTACTATACTACTATACCACTACTAGACTACTACTACTACTACTATAAACTTACTACTTACTACTACTACGACTACTCCTACGACTACTACTACTACTACTACTACTACTACTACAACTACCACTACTACGACTACGACTACGACTACTACTACGACTACTACTACTACTACTACTACTACTACTACTACTCCGACTACTACTACTACTACTACTACTACTACTACTACTACTACTACGACGACTACTAGTACCACTACTACTACCACTACTACCACTACTACTACTGCTACTACTACTACTACTACTACTACTACTACTACTACTACTACTACTAGTACTACTACAAGTACTACGACTACTACTACTACTACTACTACTACTACTACTACTACTACTACCACTATTACCACTACTACTATTACTAATACCAATACTATTACCAATGGTAGTACAACGGCAACAACTAGCACAACGACCACTACTACCACGAATATTCGAACGACAGAGGAGGGAAGATGCTGTCTCATACAATGACCCTCTGGCGAAAACGCACGGGATTCGTGCCTTCTACAAGTTGTCCTGAAGATGAGATCCACCAGGAGAAACAGCCCCCCCCAAAGAATAACCAGCATGGCGAACAAAACTGGCAAATAATTCGGCCGCCGACCATCCATCACCACCCTGCCAAGCCAGAGTTTCGAAGAGAAGAGAAAGGACCAGCACTAACAACCTCCTGCGGCGATGGCGTACAGGCCGCAGCCTCCTCCAAAAAGGTGCAAACTCAACCAACATGCTGGATCGGGAGTCGGACAAGGGATCGGGTGCACTAGGTCATTCTGGTTTGTGTGTGGCGCCCGGGCGTCGCCTGGCTGGCTCGCCAATTTATAACAACTTATCAGGGGGTCCTTTCTTCGCCCTGAGGACTTGTCAAGAGGTATTTTGCGGAGGCCGCCGTGCCAGCATGAGCTCTGTGACTGGCTAGCTACTCCCGCCGTCGTCACTCCTGGACCGTGATTACGGACGCACGGAACAGTCCCGCATTCCAGCGCTTTGAGTAGGCGACGGTAAGGCAATCAACTCCCCACCATAATGTAAAGAGCTGTATGTGAAACAATTGGCTCGTGTCTCCCAACTTCGTCTCTGACCAGGCCCCTGGAAATTTGTGGATGGGGGCCGCTGTAACCTTCACGACCAACGACCGAAACTCACCGACGTTAGACGGCCCGACGATCCCGACAACTCCGCTCAGGTCGGTCACCCCACTCCTCTGCCTCCGAACTGTAGGCTGCAAAACAAGACTCGATGCGGACACTCCTGGATGCCTGAGCGCAGCCTCAAGCGTCACGCTTTTTCGCTCGACCAGCTGCAATAACCGATGGAAGAACTGCCTAATTTGCACTCCCTGAACCGGGACCAGTCTCACCCCATCTAGTATGCTCCCATTTTTGCTCTCGCCGCGCTTGCTGTCGCTGCTTCCACCCCTCGACCTGGAACCCGCCGGCACCTCGAGGAGCTCCAGAGCCGCCCATTCCAGGTGGGCCCCTCGGCGCGGGTTTGTGCTTGAGCACCCCTTTCCGTTCTCGATGAGCGCCCGAGCGATCAATTACTGGAGCTGGCTGTGCTCGCTGCTCATCGCGATTGTGATGTTGGCCAGCTCAGGTTTGCCCTCCTTCGCATTGGCGGGCTTGCACTTGAGGTGCACAACTTTGCCCACCCAGCAGGTCAGGTGGCGCCCCTCCTTCTGCTGTCACCTTGGTCCCCCAAAACGTGTTGAGAGCGGTTTCCATGCCGTCCTCGAGGTTCGTGAAGCTGCCGGTGCTTTGTAATAGCCATACGAATGCTTGCACACACGGGGGGCCCACGCGCTCCTGGGCGGCGGGGTCGTTCTTGGCAGTCTCGGTGGCCTCGCGGTAAACACGTCCCCGTTCAAGCATGGCGAATGCGACCCCGCTGGCCATGACGGTCAAGATGGCGCCCACAGCATGCCCGTATTCTCGCGGATCTCGGCGGCGCTCGCGAGCGACATCTTGGCACACACAAGCTTGAATGATATACACTGCAACTTCATAACAGTGCACATCTGTGAAAATGCTTCCTTTCTTCCTCCTCTCCCTCTCTCCCCCCTGCAAGTCTTCTCTCCTCCGCCTCTACCTACTCTTCCTCCGATGCCTCCGCCCTCGCTCAACCTCTCCCTCTGGCTCCTCACCTCCTCTACCTCCTCGCCCTGCCCTCAGCTCCCCGGGGGCGCGCTGCCGGCGCTTTCGGCCGGCCCCCTTCCGCGGCGCCCCTCCAGGATCGCCTTGCGCGTGGCGACGGCCCGCCACAACAGGCCGGCGCCCACCTCCTGCGTTCCAAGCCGGTCGGCCAGAGGAGGCGCCGCTGCAGCGCATCCTTCGGCCGGCCCACGGGCCTGATCTCCGCCTCGCAACGCCAGACCACGCGCTCGAAGTCCGGCGCCTCGTTCCTCCCACAGCGGGGGCAATGTTCCTGCACTGCTGCTCGCCCTTCTCGTCGTTGTCCTCGTCCTCCTCTCTCCTCTCTGCCCTTCGCCGCCTGCAGGTGCGCCGGCGAGACAAAAGCTCAAGACATCACGCTGGCCGCGTGCGCGCTGCCCTCTGCCAGAAGCCTCGCGGCTTCGCAGCGCCGCTCGCGCTGCTCGAGTCGGCACAGAGGCGCATCGACGCGGCTCTGCCCCCGCCACCTCCCGAAGAGGTTCGCGCGCCAGCCTTCCCGGAGCACGTGCTCGAGGCGTCCTTTGCACTCAGACCAGCGCTCGCTGCCCTTGCGCAGGCTGAGAATGACGCCCGCGACTGGGCGCCCCAATTCCCACTCGGTGCGTTCCTGCCAGCCGCGGCCCTGCAGGAGAGCGTGGATCCGGCCAGGGCATCCCTCCTGCCTCCTCCAGGTTCCCATGCGTGGCCCGCCGCTGGCCCTTGCGGAGGGCGCGCCACGCTGCCATGAAGGCATTCGTCAGCAGGCGGCACGTGACACTGAGCCGGTGGCCACGGGAGATGGCCCGGAGGCGGGGGCCCCCTGCTCTGGGCCCCTGCCTCGCCCTCACGATCGCCGCCTGTAGCTGCGCCTCGCCCCTCCTGTTCATCTGCCTGTCGATCCAGCCGTACCCGGCGACTGCCAGCGCCTTGTTCGCCATCGTCGCCTCCTTCATCCTTCTGCAGACCGGCAGGCTCGCACTCTTTTCGAGCATCACCTTGGCCCTCCTCGGCCTCGTCTCCTCCTTCCTGGTGCACTTCCTTCCTCTTCCCCCATGGCGGCCGGCCCCCTTGCAGAAGCCCACCCCGAGGATCTCCGGGGCGTCCGTCACCGCGGCGTCCGGCGCGCCTGCTCTGAGCAGCTGCTTCTTGCCCGCGGCCGCCCGGCGGGCGTGCTGGGACTTCGCCTCGGTCTCCTTGAGGCCCAAGACGAGCGACCACTTCCTCCACTCCTCACCAACTGCCAGCAGCTCCTGCGCAGTGCTGGACTTCCACGACCTGTCGCCCACGAAGCAGGAGAGCTCCGCCCCGGGGAAGCGCGCCACGACGGCGGTGATCGGCAGGTGTAGGACCGCCACCATAGCTATCATGGACCACGGGTCGCCCTGGGTCAGCGAGGCGCCCACCTCCTCCGGCCGCCTGAGCGCGGCCCCTTGGCATTGCAAGTACTGGAGCTGTCCGGCCCACACCTGTTCCAGGATAGCGGCGACCGCGCGCGGGCACCCGAGCTTCCTCGACACCGCGACTGCCAGCTCGGGGTCGGCCCGGTCGAAAGCCAACGTGTAGTCATAGTCATAGTCCGGCCTTGCGTCCTCCAACTGCCCCCCCCCTCCACCATTTCTCCTGCCACGCTTGGGCGTCGGGCGACCTCAGCAGCACGCTGCCGAGCAGGCGCCGCCAGCAGCTCAAGATGGCGATGGGTCGCAGCGCCTGCACAGCTATGCCCCCATCCTTCTTTCTCCTTCCTTTGCCCCCCTTCGGGGGCATTACTTGCCGCGCCGTGCGCCACTCTGTGGGCGCGCAGCCCTGGCCCAGCATAAAATTGAAGACGTCAGCAAGGTGGTGGACCACCGCAGGGCAGTTGAGCGAAGCGAGCTCATCTCCGCGCCAGCCGTCAGCTCCTGGAGCGGACCCCCGTAGCCTGCCCATGGCCCCCCGCAGCTCCATGGGACACACGGGTCGCCAGATATCCTCCGACGCAGGCGGCAGCGCGTCCTCGACCCGTTGCTGCCATTCCTCCTGCGGCGCAAGCTCGAGCCCCCAGACTCCCCTCCAGTGCCGCGCCAGCAGTGCAAGCGCTTCCTGCTCAGTGGCGCTTTCTTCCCTGGCCTCGTCCTCCTCGCTCCTCGCCCCCCCTTCCTGCCCCTCGCCCTTGGGCCCCTCCTCCTTCCCCTCCGCGCGCACGCCCGTCGATGGAATCGCGCAGCCGCCTTCCACCCAGGCGCAGCATGCCCGGAGCGACCCTCGCAGACGGTTGCGCCACCTGTCGATGCGGCCCTGCCTCCGCTGCTTCCGGAGCTCCGCCAACTTCGCCTCGACCTCCTTCAACGTCACCAGCCGATTCTTCGTCAGCCCGATTCTCTCTTCGAGCATTCGCCCCTCGGCGCTCTCCTCGCGGCCTCTCCTCTGCAGCCACTGCATGTGCCGCATCCGCCCGCGCAGGTTGTCAAGCTGCTGGTCGCGCACCGAGAGGCCTGCGTGTTCTTCCTGGTGCTCCATCCTCGGATGCTTTCCGCCTCCTTTCCTGCCTCCTCCATTGCCCTCCTCATCGTGCTCCTGAAGAAGTGCTCGAGGTAGAGAGATGTCTGCTTCCACACGTCGTCCACCTGTTTCTGCATGGCGCCCATGTCCCGGGGCTCCTCCATAGCTGGGAAGCTCGGCGGAGCCATGGTCGCATAGACCTCCCGCTGCAGCTGACACCATCGCTCTGGTTCCACGTGTCCCGGGCAGCCCAAATTGGCCGACCTGCCCAGAATGCAATCCGGCTCACGCACGCCCCTGTCGCCCCGGACCACCTGCAGATGGGCAGCGACAACCCGGTGGTCCTTAACGAGATGTCCTCCGACGCCGGCTGCTTACAGCACGTCGGGTGCGAGGCTATGCAGTAATCGATGCACCTGCGCCCCTCCCAGCGCGTCGGAACGCAGCCCCCTCTGTCATCCAGCGCCGCCCGGAGACACGCTCCTTCTTCCCGGAGCAGATCCCACAGCAGATTCTCCCCAGGCTCGTCGTTGAAGCCGCCCGCAATGCACCAGGTGTGCTTACGGCTCAGCGTTTCCAGCAGCCCCAACACGAACGACATAGCCTCGTCCCTGGCCTTGCCGGGAGGCTGGTAGAGGTTGACTGCGACCAGGTCCTCGACCCGCACCGCCACCGCTTGCGCGTCCTCGCCCACCAGGTGGTCCAGCCGCCGGGAGCGCAGCGCCTCGAACACCAACGTGCCAACCCCACCAGTGGGTCTGCCTGCCCGGTGGGGCGCCGTTGATTGGGCAACGGCGCCTCCCGAAAAGTAGCTCCTGTAGCCGAACTTGCGCGCGCGGGCCTCGAATGCGGCGCAATCCTGGTCCGTGAGCCCCACCTCCTGCAAGAATACAATATCTATTTCTGCCTGGCTCGCCGCCTCCAGCGCCTGCCACGATGTCTCCCCCAGCCCTACGTTGACCGTCCACGTCGTGGCCCACGGCCGCCCCTTCTTTGACGCAGGGCCCGGGTGCGGCTCCACGTCCCCATCCTGTTCGAAGTTTCGAACCCACCCTCCAGCTACCGGCGGGGGGCGCACTGCGGTAGCCGTGCCCCCCCAGCACCTTCAGGATCGGGGCGCCTTGCACTCCCGCCCTGGCCTGCTCGGTAGCCTCTGCCTCTTCCTCCTCTCTGGTGCTTCCTCTTGCGGTGGCCTCCTCAGCGTGCTCGCTGGTGCCACGGCGTCCTCCTGTCTTCTCGCAGGTGGTTCGGCCGCCTCCTTCCTCCTGTGTCTCCTCGCGGGTCCTGTGATCTCCTCCTGTCTCCTCTGCCTCCTCTTACTTCCTCCTGCCTCTGCACTGGTGCTCGGAGCCTCCTCTCTTTTCCTCTGCCTCCGCACCGGCGCTCCGGCCTCCTCCTGGTCCTCCTCATGCTTTGCCAGCGGCCTGCAACCTTTGGCCGCCTCCTTCTTCCGTGATTGCCTGGGATTCCAATGTTTCCGTCTGTACTTGATCCTGTGCGCCAAAGCTTGGGCTCGCACGTGGCTCGTGCGCTCCCTGTACTCTTCGGCGCCCTCACCGGGACGTCTCCTGTAGGGAGCATACGTGTGCGCAACCGGGCACCAGTCATCGACCAAAAAGATCAAGAACCCCCTGTCGCACTCCAGCTTCCTCAAAGTCTCCCCCTCCCCAGCCCTCCCCACTCCGAGCCACCATTCCCGCAGCTGCGAACGCGCGCTGCTGTCCGTGAGCGTGTACTGGCGGTTCTGCTCGCATGAAAGCCCATGCCGGAGCTGCTTGGAGGCCACGCTGGCGCCCGCCACCGCGAACAGGCACCTCTTGCATCTGAACTGCGTCATGGTCACGCGAGTGCCGTCCTTCCTGTACTCCACGTTCTCGGCGTGGCCCCGGTACGGCAGCGCCACGAGGGCGTGTTCAGGGAACCGCTCCTGCTGCACCGCCAGGTTCCGCTTCATGACCACCTTCCTGCAGAACTCCTCGAACGACACGTCGTCGTGGCACTTTTGCCAATGGCTCCTCCTGCTCAGCCTCCCCTGCGCCCGCCCCAAGGTGGGGAGTCCCGCGTCGCACAGTCCGCATGTCCACTCCCTCTGCGCCGGAGGGAGCGCCGTCGTGGCCTCGATGAGGGTCGGCGGCGGCGCCCTGTTCCTCAGCAGCGCCTCCGCTTCCTCAGGATGCGCCTTCCGTAGGTGCGTGGCTTTTGAGACCCCAATTCGGCACTGACAGGGAAGACATGGGCTTGATACTGAAAGCGTTCAGCGTAAGTCGGGACCAAATCTGCGAGTACCGTAAAGGGGGGTACGTGCTCGTTGAGATGCTCCTGGAGCAGCTCCAAGGTTCGGGCCAGATGATCACAGAGGTGACATCCAACCCGATGCATTCGACCTCCGAAAATCTGGATCTCTCGACACATCGGCCACCTCTGGCAACACTCGACAACAAATGACGTTGGGCCGTCTTGGTACAACTGAAGGCTGTCAAGCAATAGGGAGACACGTCCGTCGTCACGATCGTCGGAAAAGGAAAAAGGAGGACTTGGAGGCGGCCAGGGGGTTTGAACTGGTTCGGACCCCAGGAAACGGTCAGGAGGGGGGAGTGAACCCAAACCCGCTCAAAATCTGTCCTCAGACCCCCGGATCCGTGTTTCAATATCCTGAAGCGCGAAAGCGGATCCCGGAGGCCGAAAAAGGCAAAAAACCTTCCCGAACCGAGACCCTCGAACCTGCCCGCCCTTCTAGCTGAACGCAACAAGTGCTGAGCCACCTCAGACCCCCAGACGGCTCCAAGAGGGAGGGACGACGGGGGGGGAGGGAGGGAGGGGGGGGGGCAGGGAGGGAGGAGGGGGGGGGGGAAGGAGGGGGGGGGAGGGAGGAGGGGGCGAGGGAGGAAGGGATGGAGGCAGGCAGGGAAGGCGCCACCCCCCTCCCCCTCGCGCCCGCCGGGCCCGCCTCGATGCTCTTCCCCAGGTCCCCGGCGCCGGTCTTGCAGTCCGCCGGCCCCGCGCCCGCGGGGCCCGAGGCTCGCGCGGCCGGCGCCCTCCCGTCCCAGGCCCAGCGCCTCTTCTCGGGTGGGCCGGCGGGGACGCAGCCAGGCCAGAGTCGGCGCAGCTCGATGCCATCCGAGGTGTGGGCCCAGGCAGCTCGTCGGCGGCGAGCGAGGGGGGGGACGTGAGAAGGAGAGGGCCTTCTCGGAAGGCTCGGGACTTCCTGGGCCTTCTGAGAAGTTGTCTGAGCCTTCCCCGAAGACAAGAAAACTTCTCGGAAGGCGCGAGGGCTTCTGGGAAGTCCCGCCACCTTCGGAGAAGGCCTTCTCCTTCTCGTTTCCCCCCCTCGCTCGCCGCCGAGATAGAGGCGGATCCAGAGATGCCAAGAGAAAACTGGACGAATCACGGAAGATCCAGCGCGGGCCGAGACACAGTAGAAGTGGTTAGACGCGATCTCCTCGGAGGTCTCCCGAATGGGGTCTCTTAAGTAGATGGGGGTCCGAGGATCGTGCCGCATCGCCAATGCATCGCCGATGCATCGACGAGACATCGACGACGTCGGCGATGCATCGGCGCCGCTGGCGTGGGAATCGGGCTCCACATCGAGCCGCATCGCCGGCCATCGGCGATGCGGCGCGATCTTCTGGCCCCGTCTGCTCGGACCCCATCCCTCTCAGCCCTCCCTCTCAGACCTCATCAGACCTCATCCCTCTCAGAGGGAGGGAGGCCTGGAGCTCTCCCTCTCAGACTCATCCCGACTCAGAGGGAGGGAGGCCTCCCAGAGGGAGGGAGGCCTGGACCTCTCAGACCTCATCAGACCTCATCCCTCTCAGATCTCATCCCTCCCGGGCCCTCAGACCTCCCTCTCAGAGGGAGGCCTGGAGCTCTCCCTCCCAGACCTCACCCCGTCGTAAGCAAGCATGGCGGGCGGTCGTTCGGCTGTGTTCGGCCTGCGGAGGTCCGGGCTGTTGCGCCAGGACAGTGACAGGATCACTGGGGATGAAGGGCCCCGGAGTGGTCGAGACCTGTGGGCGTGTACGCCTGTTAGGAGTCTGGCCCGGGAGGAGGAAGGAAGCGAACCCGTACAATCCAAGGATGCGTGAGGGAGTCCCTCCTCCCCTCGCGTCTGACTGTCCGCCCCCCTCCTGCTCAGAGGCTGGATGGGGCGAAGACCACCAGAGAGAGATCCACATCCTTCCTCCTCCCTCCCCCTCCTCCTCTGACTGTTTCCGCGCCATCCTGGGAGGTGGGAAAGGGAGGAAACGAGGTGGATCTATGCAGGTATCCTCCTCCCCTGAGGAGCCCCCCAATCCCCCTTCTCGTCCTTTCTGTCCACCCTGAATTCGACCACGACAAGGTTCGACCTCCGATCGGGATTCTGACGCTTCTCGCCCTTTGTTGTTAAGCCTCCTAAACGGGTCACAACTGGAAGCAGTCTGAAAAGCTGGTAGGGATGAACCTGGGAGGGCTCCCGACGGAGTTCTCAGCGGGTCCTGGCAGGCGCATTCACAGGACTCCGAATGTTGTGTTTGCCGTAGTACATTATGACAGGGATTGTCTCGGGCCTTCAAACATGGAGCTCTCGGTGCAGACTGAGCCATATATTCCAACATCGGTGCCTTGCCTCCCGTCGTTCAGAATGGCGCTCTCGACCAGTGCTGGCCAAATCGGATCCGAATCGGGCCTCGTCGCTGCCGCTCACTTCTTTTCTCCTCCTCCTCCGCCCTCCGCCGGTCGACGTGCTCATCATGTTCCTCTTCTTCCTGCTCCTCTAACTCCTCTTCCAATCAACTCATTGAATAAGGACGCACGAAAAGAATGCAAGGACCTTTGGAAGGCGTTGTCGATACTTTGCGAGCGCGGCGCGGCCAGAGAAGTCAGCCAAAGATGGCCGAAAAAAGGATGCAAGGGTCACTCTAAAAAGTTGCTCGTCCTTCTTATGCGGGTTGACCGTACATACCTCCTTCCTGATCCTCGTCCGCCTCCTCCTCATCCATCCCCTGCTCATCCGCCCCCTCCTCCTCCTCCTCCTTCTCCTCCTCCTCCTCCTTCTCCTCCCTCTAGCGGTTATCGTGTTCCTCCCGCTCTTGTTCCTGGTCCTGCTCCTCGTTCTCATTCTCCTCCTCCTGCTCCTCCTCCTCCTCAGCCTCCTCCTCCTCATCCACCTCCACCTACTCCTCTACTCCTCCTCCTCCTCCTCCTCCTCCTCCTCCTCCTCCTCCTCCTCATCCTCCTCCTCCTCCACCTCCACCTCCTTCCTGATGCTGTTCAGCATCCCGCTTGTTCGCCCCCCTCCCCCATCGACTGACTCTATCAGAGAAACTATGGATTCAGTTTGTGTCGGGGTTTAGGTTTTCTGCTATGCCTGGCGGCCCATAGGGGCCATGCGGATCGCGAGGAGGCGGAGGAGGAGGAGGAGGAGGAGGAGGAGGAGGAGGAAGGGCCATCTGTGGTTGTGGCTCCTCGCGTTTCTCCGGCCTGCCTCTCTCCCCTCCCCCTCCTCCCTCTCTCCCTAAACCCCCCTCCCTCCTCCTCCCCCCACCCGTCCCCCCGAAATGGGACGAACTACAACCGACTAATCCCAATTCCAACCGTGCGGAGCGAATTGCAACCATAAATGGGACCAATTACAACCATGGGATCTTCAGAAGTACTTCTTTCTTCTTCAGAAGTACTTCTTTCTTCTTCAGAAGTACTTCTTCTTCAGAAGTACTTCGATTCCTTAGGATTCCTTCTGATTCCTTAGGATTCCTTAAGATCCTTAGGATTCCTTAGGGTCCTTGGGATTCCGTGGGATCCTTAGGATCAGGACTCCTCCGGATTCCGTCAGGAATCCTTGGGAATATTTGCGAATCCATGGGAATCCTGAAAAATCCTTAGGGGAAGGGGGCGCTTTGGGGGCCTTCTTGAGGTCTCTTTGGGCCACTCTTAAGGCCCTCTTGGGGCCTTCTTGGAGCCCTCCTGGGGCCCTTGTTGACTTTTCTTGGCGCCCAAATAATCCCTAGAAGGGCCAACTTTCGAGGGCTGCAGGTGGGCCAATTATCCAGGTCAACACTACGAAAACTACTACTATTTCGACCTACTGCTACGACTTCTGCTACGACTACTACTGCTACAGCTAATACTACTACTCCTAATCCTACTACTACGACCACTACTATTATGTCCTGCTTCTACTGCTACGCCTACTGTTTTAAATAGTATTACTTCTACTGAAGCGACGCCGACTACAACAACAACAACAACAACAATCATTTTACCCGAACGCTCAGTGTTCTCACCAGTGCCAGGGTTTTCATGCGACGCGAGACAATACCCCCACTTCGTGGGGGGGCAGTTCAAGTTCTACCAAATATCCAAACGACTCTTCGCGACCACCCAAACCCAGCTTCCCGCCCTATGACGTTGGGACACTTCACTTCGTGGCGTGCGGACGACCGTGGCTACTACACTGGCGTGGGGTACACACCCACAGAACTTGGTCACTTATTCGGGGCGCGCGTGTGCCCAGCATCCTGCAATTGTGACATACAATCATGACACAGACAGGACAGAGATGAGAGACAGAGAGCAGACCAGGAGAGAGCAGAAAGAGCGGAGTGGTCACATTTTTGGGGCAAGTTCCTGAGATCGTCGTGTTTTTGTTGGTCTTGCGCGCGCGAATGTCCACTTTATTTTTTTTTGCAAGGGAGTATTGAAATTTGATTATGTTAGAACAAGAAAAAGTAGCTCGCGCGAGCTCATGTAACATAAATGTTGAAAAACCATTGGTTTTGTAGGAGTCGGACAGCGCGCGCGGGATGAAATTTGGACATTTTGTTTTGAAAAACCATTGGGTTTTTGATGTTTTTATGTTGAAATCGTTACGAAACCTAAGGTTCTGGAAGGATTTCGTCTTGCGCGCGCGAATGTCCACTTTACCTTATTTTTTGCAAGGGATTATTGAAATTTGATTATGTTAGAACAAGAAAAAGTAGCTCGCGCGAGCTCATGTAACATAAATGCTGAAAAACCATTGGTTTTGTGGGATTCGGACAGCGCGCGCGGAAGGACATTTTGACAATTTTTTCTTAAAAAAACCATTGGGTTTTTGATGTTTTTATGTTAAAATCGTTACGAAACCTAAGGTTTTGGAAGGATTTCGTCTTGCGCGCACGAATGTCCACTTTACCTTATTTTTTGCAAGGGATTCTTGCAATTTGATCAAGTAAGAACAAGAATTTTCATTTTTATTGTTTTTTGCAAGGGAAAACGGATTACAACAAAACAACCGGATCCGGACACAATCCACTTTTCTGAAGCTTTCGCTAGAAAATGAAGGAAATGAGGCTGCGGCCTAGGTTTTGGAAGGGGGTCGCGCACCAGGGGCCTCAACAATAATATTTCTT